TGTGAAGGCTTTGAAATAAAACTATATTTTCTAAAATTTTACCCGATTATTTTGGTGAGGTATTTATGAATGTAGTATTGTTAATGATACTAATGGGTACAATGTGGCCAAGCTTGGGCTAACGAAATACCTTCCGACATGCGAACACGTGGCACACAGCGCTGGAACATAAAGACACGTGGGACACCACACTTCGAGTGTGAAATCTCGCAAAGAAAACCTTCTCGAGTGTGCACCAACAAAATATGAAACGTGGAGCACAAGTACAGCAAGTGGTGTTCGAGAAGCAAAGGAATGGTCGTAGTGGAATTCTGGAACACGACCACACGATGGTTCTGTAAGAAGACAGCAACAGGGAGGCGATTGATGATTGATTCTAGAATGAGGACTGTTCCAGAACACACGGCCCCGGCATCGCAACCCACAACTCATTAGGGTGGCGGCACGGCACGCTGCAGAGTGGACGGTGGTCTCCAAAATCACGACGGGTTACGGACTGCAGCGGCGCGAGAACGAGATGGACGAGGCAGGAACGCGTGAGGCAGGCGGCGCGTGAAGAGGCGACAACGCTTGCATTCGACCAACCACGAGAGAATCTGGAATGGCCCTTCCTCGCATCACCGTCACCATCACCGTCACCCGCGTGTCCACGCGCAGCGAAGCAGCGTCCGGCTGAAGTCAAAACAAATCCGCGATTTTCCTACCACGTGTCCGTTCGTTCGGTGGTGCTCATCTCGCAGCCCTAACCCAGTGGTGTAAACTCCACGTTCCTATGGCGGGGGCAAGACTGCCGTTCCACAAAGTGGTACTGATTTGATCGACCCGGGGAGTTCTGGGTGAACCCTCCATCCCCCACAACGCGCTCTCATCACACCTCGCTAACGTGTCCCGGTGTCTGCGCAGTCAGTCGTCTTATCAGAGTACTGCGCAGAGCACTACACGGGGTCGTCGTGTTGTACTGCACTCACTCGTGTTGTCAGTGAGGCGGGTCTATCCAGAGGACAATCAAAGCGGCACGAGGTGTACAGACCGATTCAAATCTCTTCACCAACCCCCATACCCCAGCGCGTTACAATCACATGGAGCCACATTGGCGCATCATCCATCCGGTTTAAATACCGCACCAGCTCGTGAAGACCCCGGCAGACGAGCACTGTCTGGTGGTGGTGGGTGTGGTGGTGGTGGTGGAGGGGGTGGTGGTAGTGGAGAGGGTGGTGGTGGTGGTAGTGGAGGGGGGTGGGTAGTGGTGGAGGGGGTGGTGTTGGTGGTGGTGGAGGGGTGGTGGTGGTGGTGGTGGGGGTGGTGGTGGTGGTGGAGGGGGTGGTGGTAGTGGAGAGGGTGGTGGTGGTGGTAGTGGAGGGGGGGGGGTGGTGGAGGGGGTGGTGGTGGTGGTGGTGGAGGGGGTGGTGGTGGTGGAGGGGTGGTGGTGGTGGGGTGGTGGTGGTGGTGGTGGGGTGGTGGTGGTGGTGGTGGAGGGGGTGGTGGTAGTGGAGAGGGTGGTGGTGGTGGTAGTGGAGAGGGGGTGGGTAGTGGTGGTGGGGGTGGTGGTGGTGGTGGGGGTGGTGGTGGTGGTGGAGGGGGTAGTGGTAGTGGAGAGGGTGGTGGTGGTGGTAGTGGAGGGGGGGGTAGTGGTGGAGGGGGTGGTGGTGGTGGAGGGGGTGGTGGTGGTGGAGGTGGTGGTGATAGTGGAGGGGGTGTGCCGGCTCGCCCCGCGGCGCGTGGCGTGCGGGTTCGCCACGAGTCTGTGTCGGGAGGTCTGCGCTCAGCTCTCTGAAGGCAGAGGGCGATGGAGCGATATGAATGCCTTTTATGAGAGTGGCGGTGGTGCCACTCAAGTCAACGGAATATCTCATTATTATGATGATACTCTTCTAATCCTGCAATGGATCCACAGCGGCTGATGATTAATCCAGCAGTAGACGACAATGTCTGATAATCATGATACATTATTAAACCAGTGGCTTGACAATGAATGGCGATGATTATGATACCTTTTTGACTAGCAGTGGCTCTACAGCGGCTGCATAATTACGATGACGCCTTAATACTGATAGGAACCTCCTGGTTACACCAGCCCACAGGGGATTATTGTGTCCGTCCGTCGTGCAGGGAGGGGCTGGGTGGGAAGGGGAGGGTGGGGTGGGGCTGGGTGGGGAGGGGCTGGTCACCCCGTGGTGCCCTTATAAAACTCAACGTTTAATCTACTCACGCCGGCTTGTCCCCGCCCTCACAGTCGGCCATATTTGCGGAATACACCACGCCGCCGTTGACCCTGGCCATTGACCGTGCAACCGGACGTTCCTCCCAGCTCCCTCCGCAGGAATGTGTTTAGCAGGAGATATGGGCTGATGATGATTAAGATGACACAATTAACCCAGCGATAATTCGAGAAGGATGACGATGATTGATGACTATGACAGCTGCATCGCCAACGAGCCTTACAATGCCCCTCCCCGCCACCTAACACGAACGCACATGCGCGATTTAAATAACCATCGCCTGATCCCACGTCTACAGCCCTCCTCCATACGTCTCCAACGTTGAAACAACCTCCTCTAACCGCCGACGATTGACGATGAGTGCAGTAACAACTCAAGCTGGTTATTTGAGAGGCGACCCAGGTAAAATGTCGAGAATGAGTAGTGGGATGGGGGTTGCTCTCTCCCCTTCTCTTTGTGTGCAGCAGCAGCTGCAGCACCACCACCAGCCGGCACCACGTGTGGGTCTGCATCTTCCGGTAGAGCTCTTCCCTGTTTTTTTCCATCATCACAATCCATGGGGGCAGACAGCCCACTTCCCTCTGTATCGTAGTGCCAATAAGCTCAAGTAGTTTGTGCATCTGCCTGGCACCAATCTCTTGTGTCATCTTCAAGCCATTCTCTGTAAGGTCGTCCTCTCCGGATCCTTAACTTTTTTCCGAACAAGACACTTTTAATTTGCCTGTTGTTCACCATCCTACACATTTGTCCAGATGGTGCCAGTCTCCTTCTCGTCACTGCCTGCATCATCAGGTCTTCTTCTATGTGCAGCCTGTTTTCTTCTCCGTATTTTTATTTATGTATTATTGCCATTACCACTTGCCACCGCTTCACGAAGATCTGGAACTGTTCGTCAGTTCGTCTAACCACATTCCTGGTGGCCCAAGAGCCAGAGGTGACGGATGAATTGATTTGGTGATGCTGCTGCCTGTTGGGTTTTAAGTTTGACGCATCGCCTGCGTGACAACACGCAGTACACGCTCAACTCTCAAGTCCTTATGGATAATTTAAATAACACAATTAGTTAATTTATTTTCTTTCTACGTGACTTTACCGAAAAAACCAAAGAGTAACACAATTGGTAATCGGGTAATACTGATTTTTCTGTCTCTCCACAAACGAAAGAGAGAGATATTTTATAATGTGTTCTACCTACGTGACTTTACCGAAAGAACCAAAGAAAAACCGAGACAAGGCACCATCAGGGCAGTTTTATCTCGGGGTGAGCAGCTACAAGGGGCCTGTTTGCCAGTATTTTAAAAAGACTTTGATACTGGCAAGAAGGTCACAATTTTTTCAAAATCGTAGCAGCACGACGTGCATCCATCGCCCCATGCAGAGACTTTGACAGTGCCGTGGAAAGTACGATACAGTCGTTTTTGTTTCATTTGGATATTTGTCAATGTTTATTCGTGTGCCTATTTTACATAGTAACATTTTGTAAACACACAAAAACACATACGCAACACCTAGAAACATGGTATGCAAGAATGTGCAGAATCTTCTTGGTTCTTTCGGTAAAGTCATGTATAAGGGAAATAATACAATAATAAAAATAAAACATAATAAAATACAATTCTCACGACGTTTCGGCCACAACGCAAGCAGCCGTCCTCAGGTGAAAAACAGGTCTGTCGGAAAGACAGTCCTGCACTGTGGCCGAAACGTCGTGAGAATTGTATTTAATTATGTTTTATTGTTATTATTTATTATTTCCCTTCTACGTGACTTTACCGAAAGAACCAAGAAGATGAATCCCTGCAGTCACGAAAGCTTTAAATCGAAATTTAAAATGCAGAATGTGCAATAATAATCTTTTAAAATAGTGTAGTGATTATCCTGCGTTTTTTGTATCTGGTGCCCCCGAAAACGCTGGATAATCGATGACTACTGTGTTCGCATTGTACTTCTTCAATGGAATTTCAAGGATTTGAATAATTTTCACATTTCACTTTTACAACTGTTACGAACCTCGGCAGGACACAATGGAGGTAATTACCACGATGTATTTATTTAATGGTGACATTTTATATCTATCTTTTATAATATATTTTGTATCTACAGATCAGTCTTTGATTAGAAAATATAAGTTAAAAAATTGCGTCTATTTAAATCCTGCGAGATCGGCGTTTATTGGGCCGGGTCCAGTATCTTGCACAACGCCCACGGCTCATGCTGTGACGACGCACTCGTATCAGCATTCACTTTGTTCACACGAGAATGGGCAGTACCATTCGTAAGGTAGGGGTCATTTGTGACATGTATTGTCGATAAGACATGAAGGCGATATTAAACTCCAGTGTTGTCGTTTAAAATATTTATTATTAATGAAATTAGCTGAAATGTACTTTCATCCACCTTGTTTGTAACCTTACTTGAGATCATTTAACAAATCCAGTCTGTCACGTTAGCCCTCTGGAGGGTGACGGGATGGTTGTGCCCGCGGCTCCGTATAAAAGGCTCAGTGGAGAGGAAACCGAAGACGCGGAGCAGTGACGGTGCAGAACAGACGTTTCGGCCTCAACCACCTCCACAGCAGCCATGCCGCTCAAAATACACATCGTCTATTGGTAAGCGGCATTCGTGGCCTGCCATCTCGTCGTGTTGCACGTGGGCTTGAGACACATTTCGTTGGTATGTTGGTACAGTACCGTAGTTGCGAACCCGCACACTTCATGCCCTCAACAACATCCTGGTCTAAGGAGGCGAGTTTTTTATGGTCGTGTGGCTGGCATTAGGCACATGAAAGGTGGGTTTTGTTGGACAAAGCTTCCTATTGAGGTTTGTTTTAAATGTGTGTATATATAACGGCATTTAATTTCTGTTACAGACCTAATGTGCTGTGCTATGTCCATACATTTATATTTCGTGATTGTGTATATGTATTTAGAGTATGATTCTGAGTCAGTCGTGATGTATGTTTTAACCAGGTTTAGGAGTCAATGGAGAATTTAAAGTAAGATAAAGTATGTACACTGCAGTATTGTAAGTGCATGACGATATCGACAAGCCATTGAAAACCACGCTATGACTTCATGTCGGCGCTTGTGGCTATACATTACAGAGTATAACAATTGCACAGTACCCTGTATAGTATTGTAACCATTCAACAATAAGTGTACGTGTATGGGGAAGTTATATAACATGTACGTTGATATACAGCATTGTGTGAATGAAATTCATTTCTTAAAGCACCATTGCAATTTGATGTGTCACACACTGGTCATTTTTGACAGGTCACTAACCCAATTTTGTTGTTACAGTGGCGCCTGAGGGTACCGAAGTCGGGTAAATGACACACCTTCCCCTATCGCTGACAATGCCAAATATTTCAGTTGAATTTATAAACGAGACGACATCCTTGCCAGATAATGATCACATTCGCCCAAGATCGGATTGTGCCATGGGCGTGGCTGCTACCGACCACAACACCACGCTACAGCCAGCCACAACCCCACGCTACAGCCAGCCACAACCCCACGCTACAGCCAGCCACAACCCCACGCTACAGCCAGCCACAACCACACGCTACAGCCAGCCACAACCCCACGCTACAGCCAGCCACAACCACACGCTACAGCCAGCCACAACCACACGCTACAGCCAGCCACAACCACACGCTACAGCCAGCCACAACCCCACGCTACAGCCAGCCACAACCACACGCTACAGCCAGCCACAACCCCACGCTACAGCCAGCCACAACCACACGCTACAGCCAGCCACAACCCCACGCTACAGCCAGCCACAACCCCACGCTACAGCCTTGTGTGTACCTGGCCACAGGGGGGGTCACGACCTTCTTTGAGAAAAATGCAAAGTCATACACCAGTGACGCACCTGCGTGTTTGACTGTGCACGAGTGGATCTGCACTGCCCCTGTACAAACATTCCACGCTTTTTATTATTGGTCCAAAGTGGGCATTTTAAGTCCATACAGTAGAGGGAATACTACTGACACAAGCACACTATGTACGTAAGCACACCTTGATTTGATACCAAGTGTGGGTTTAGTATCTTGGCTTCTATGCTACGTTTAAGAGTTTGAGCTATAACACAATACTACCAAAGTAGAGCAAACCAGCAGCATTAACCAAAAAAATGGGGGCTAATCAAGCTGGGAAGTTTTCTATTCCCAGCTTGATTAGCCCCATTTTTTTAACCAAGTTAAACCTAAGTTTAAACTTTAGCAGCCTTATAGTTTACTGCAGTATACTGAAAGGCAACCAGTTTGTCAGCTTAATACTGCCTCTTGTTTAGTTATCCGCCCTTTTTTTAACCACTTACCATCGCCTACACACTGTGCCTTCCCCTAATCCCCTGCAGCATAACAAAAGGAGGCTTAACTTAACCCTCCCCCACGGCCCATCCTGGCTCCTCCCCCCCTTCACCTGTATATAATATCGTGTCTCTTAGAGTTCTTCCCACTTGATACAGTAATTTTGCTGTGACGGTGCCACCTGAAAACGGAAGCTTGTGTTGCCTCCGAAACGTCGTGGTTTAATAATTTTTTATTTTATTTTTTTACCTACGTGACTTTACCGAAAAAATCAAAGAGTATGAACTTAAGTTCGCATTACCAATGGCACACTTGTAAAATTACGATAATTTTATACGAGCAATATGCCATGGTACAGTACGTTTAAATATTCCAAAGAGAAAATTATACACTGAGATGACGGTTAAAAGTATGGTTAACATTCTATGATTCTGTTGTTTCCAAGGTCATAACTTTGGGCAAACATAATTATGCTTGTTTGTGCCCATTGTGGACGTTATCTGAACTGGTTCTTGTAATCGTCCGTTTTGTTGACAAATAATAAAAACATAAAAAAATCCCAACATGTCTTGCCAACAATTACCCCTTCCTTGATGTGTAATGCATAACCCTGGAGGCATAAACAGGCTGTGTGCTTGGAATTGGCTCTCGACGGAAATAAACAATTATGGACCTGTTTTTGATGCAAACTGGATAATCTCTATCAAGTTGGCTTATATAAGGAAGTGGGCCCATTTTTTTCTCAACTTGACTCATTTATTTTAATTCGCACAATTGCACATCTCCGTTTAGACTTCATGTTACTGGACAACACCACTCCTCAACAGTGATTGGATTGTTGCGAATCGTTTGTATTGTTTCATGTTTTTCCGTCTAATTTGTACAATGTTATAAACTCCATTAACTTATATCTAACCATGTTTTCATGAACCAAAATCAGATCCTTAGATAAATGGTTTCGTGAGCCTTAATCGATTAAATGAATGCATCACTCCATCACCCGCCCCCCCACCACTGAACATTATTGCTGCATATTCGCTTGTCATCATAATCGATACATGAGTTGCAAGTGACGCGAGCACATTATTGCATGCGGATAATTTAAACCACAGCTGACATCAATTATTGTTGTTGTATGTCATCGCATGCTGAACATGTATTTGATTTTTTTTCTGCAGTTTCACCGCCTCAAGGATGAACTTGAAACCGAGTTCCCTGGAGAGCTGGAGATTGTGAGTATGAGTTAGAGCGTTTGTAGTTTTTGTGTTTTCGTACACATTTTATAATGGTGCCATTTGTACATGTTTATATACCGTAGTCGAGTTAAACTCGTGACATTTCAACATGTATTGTATCACGACTGACTTTGTTAGATTTTGGAGGATTCCTTTTATTGTCCAATGCAATTACATATTGAGCGTCACACAATGCAAGTTCATTGCCTTATACCTTCAGGTTTACCTTGCAAAATATACTTTTAAGACCCGATCGGCTCTTGCCTACCTATATAGATGGCAATGGTTTGATACATTCAACCAATACTCTAATAAATATGTATAAAGACTATTCCCATAGAAACAGTATGACAATGGCACACTTATATTCTTGGTTCTTTCGGTAAAGTCACGTAGAAGGGAAATAATAAAAATAAAACAATGAAATGATCACGACGTTTCGATTGCAACACAAGCAATCATCATCAGGTGTGAAAACCACAGCAAGAACATTTTCTGTGAGAATTTTATTGTTTTATTTTTATTATTTTATTGTTTCCCTTCTACGTGACTTTACCGCAAGAACCAAGAATATGAATCCCTGCAGTCACGAAAGCTTTAAATAGAAATGGCACAATTGTTATAATTCACAGACGTCTATAACGCAACTCTTCACGTACAGGCACTCCTCTATACGGAATGGCTTTGTTTCTGAAAAGTCTGTAAAGCGAAATTGCGTATTTGGATACTTATTTCCCCATTGACTTCCATTTATATGATTGGAGATGAGTTCCTGCGGAAAACAATTCGGCCCCAAGACGTAATAAAATCACACTTAAGAACGCAGCAAACGTTTAAGCACATTCTGTGGAAAATCTATTTCATGATAAAATACTAAAACTCAAAACAAGTCCCAAAATAAAAAATACTGTACGGCACTTGCCACCATCTGTAGTGATCACTGTGTGAGGTGGTGGTACACGTCTCGTACTGATGATCAACACATTTAGATCACACTAGCTGTACTACCCGGCTTCGCCCGGGACTTGTATCTACCACGGCCGGCCGCCTTTGTCTCCCCAGTGGCGATGTTAATACGCTACAGTAGTTAAGTTACTCGTTTGAGGCAGAGTCGACCTAGGGGAGGTTCAAATAATCGTCACCGGTGGTGGCCGTGAGCGGGAATCGAACTGGGTTTGCCGGGTTGGTAGCGCAGCGTAGCGTTAAGCACTACACCCACCGCTCCTCACACACCACACACGCACAGACACACACACAGACACACACACAGACACACACACAGACACACACACAGACACACGCAGACACACACAGACAGAAACACACACACAGACAGCACGCTAACCACTACACTACCGCTCCCCACACACCACACACGCACACACACAGACACACACACAGACACACACACAGACACACACACACAGACACACACACACAGGCAGCACGCTAAGCACTACACTACCGTTCCCCCTACACAACACACGCGCGCGCGTCCATAGGTACACATACACGCGCTTGCTGCAGACACACACGACTTCAGGGTGCATACGGCAGTAAACGACTGAAATAATAAAGCGGCAATGCTGTGTAAGGAACGCCTTAGACCCGCATTATACATTTGTGTAATGCGAGCGTAAACACACAAACACACACAAACACATACACAATACACACACACATACATGCAGACACACAGACAGACACATAACACACATACATACACACACATACAAACACAGAAACACATACACACACATACATACACACGAACACATCCACAGACGTACATACACACATACATACAGGCACGCAGACATACACAAACACATACAAAAAAACCCACATACATACACACACACATACATACACACAAACACATGCACACACATACATACACACATGCATACAGACACACAGACATACACATAAACACATACACACATACACATGACCCGGCTTCGCCCGGGACTTGGATCCACCACGGCGGCAAAACCGACATACATACACACACAGACATACACACAAACACATACACACACATACATACATACACACATGCATACAGACACACAGACATACACAAACACATACACATGACCCGGCTTCGCCCGGGACTTGGATCCACCACGGCGGCAAAACCGACATACATACACACACAGACATACACACAAACACATACACACACATACAAACACACATGCATACAGACACACAGACATACACATAAACACATACACATGACCCGGCTTCGCCTGGGACTTGGATCTACCACGCCCAGCCGCCTTTGTCTCCCAAGTGCCGATGTTAATACGCCACACCAGTTACTCGTTTGAGGCTGAGTGGACCTAGGGGAGGTTCAAATAATCGTCACCGGTGGTGGCCGTGAGCGGGAATGGAACTGGGTTCGCCGGGTTGGTAGCGCAGCGTAGCGTTAAGCACTACACCCACCGCTCCTCACACACCACACACGCACAGACACACGCACAGACACACACACAGACACACGCAGACACACACAGACAGACACAGACAGACACACACACACAGCACGCTAAGCACTACACTACCGCTCCCCACACACCACACACGCACACACACAGACACACACACAGACACACGCAGACACACACAGACAGACACAGACAGACACACACACACATACAGACACAGACAGCACGCTAAGCACTACACTACCGTTCCCCCTACACAACACACGCGCGCGCGTCCATAGGTACACATACACGCGCTTGCTGCAGACACACACGACTTTCAGGGTGCGTAAGGCAGTAAACGACTGAAATAATAAAGCGGCAATGCTGTGCGAGGAACGCCTTAGACCAGCAACACATTTGTGTAATGCGAGCGTAAACACACAAACACATACAAACACATACACACACATACACACACATACACACAAACACATACACACAGACATACACATACACACAAACACACACATACATGCACACAAACACATACACAATACACACACACATACATGCAGACACAGACAGACACATAACACACATACATACACACACATACATACACAAAAACACATACACACACATACATAGACACACACATACATACACACAAACACATGCACACACGTACATACACACATACATAGAGACACGCAGACATACACATAAAGACATAAAAAAACCCACATACATACACACACACATACACACAAACACATACATACACATACATACACACATACATAGAGACACACAGACATACACATAAACACAAACACACATACACATGACCCGGCTTCGCCCGGGACTTGGATCCACGATGCCCCGCCGCCTTTGTCTCCCCAGTGACGATGTTCACACACGACAGCAGTTACGCGTTTGAGGCTGAGTGGACCTAGGGGAGGGCCAGGTCCGTTTCAAATAATCGTCAGCGGTGGTGGGCGTGAGTTGGAATCGAACTGGGGTCGCTCAAGCAGCTTAATGACTGTTTGTACAAAGAACATATAAAGAATCGATTATAATAACCAGGCTACAGTCCACATTATAGACTGCCAGTACACGCAGTCAGCTTCATAAGCAGGCTAGAGTGTACATGATAGAGTGCCAGTACGCTCACCGAGCTTAATAAGCAGGCTACAGTGTACATGATAGACTGGCAGTACGCTCACCCAGCTTAATGAGTATTTGTACAGTGAACATTAAAGTAATCGATTGTTGGCGCGTTGGGTTTAAAAGTAATATTAATAGCACACATTGTGGTGGGGGTGTAGTGAAGAGTAGGAAAAACTTTGATGAATTTACCTCAGAGTGGCGTGGTGGGTGTCGAGGCCTAGTAGCGTGCAAAGCCTGCGGCCTCGCCTAAAATTGTCGGCTTGGAAGAGGCAGGGTACGGGTGGCGTTCCTTCCCCCCCCCTCAGCGCTCCAACAATACTGTGTAATGGCTATTATTTAATTAAATACGGAGCTTATGAAAGTGGCGAAGGCGTGGCTAGCCGTTGGCAGGGGCAACCGCCGTCCAATGAAACTGCAGCCCTTGGCGAAGGCGTCGCTAGCCGTTGCCAGGTCCAATGAAAGCGGCGAAGGCGTGGCTAGCCGTTGCCAGGGGCAACCGCCGTCCAATGAAAGTGCGTATGGGCCGAAATACACACACACACACACAGACAGACATGAACGATTTTATATATATAGATTACGCCTGTGTTGGCGTCTGCAGTGGCATCCAGTATCACATAGGACTCATTTTAAAATCATTTTTGCAAACTTAAAAGCACTGAACCACCTTTCCTCAGCCTACCTTAGAGACACGCTACGTCCATTTGTCTCAAGGTCTCCAAGATATGGGGATGCAGATATCTGCATTACCAGGTCGAGGCTTCCGTCTATTTGTGACCAAGCTTTTTCCCATGTAGCCCAGACTCTGGCACTCTCTTCCACGAGCTGTTAGGATCTCGGAGTCTGTGGATATTTCTTAAAACACGTCTTAAAACTTATTTATACAATTGTGTTTACGTAACTATTTCATTTAGCATTTATTTTATTACGTTGTAGTTTCATGAGGTATTTTGATGCTGAGTGTTTTCTGCTGTCTTGTACGGTGCTTTGAGATCCTCGATTGAAATACACTTTATAATTTGAACTCTTATTGAAGGACCGAACCAATACTCAGTTTCAGTTTTCAGTTTCATTTATTTGGTAGAGCCCTGTGAGCCATTCGGCTCTTGAATCGGGTGCAACCGCAACAAACAAAAAACATGAACAAGAAAACATCTTAAAGTGACTATGTGACTATGTGCAAACAGAAAAATCCAGGAAAAAAACGGTAAAAAAATCTTCCAGAAAAAGCACCGTACACCAACGCTGTGTGCAAAAATCCCAGTGGGATGCAAGTCAAACAACAACAACCACAAGACAACTTAGATTAAAGCCATCATTCTAACTCCATACCACAACAAACAAACATGGCCAAACCAAAAAAATACTAGCCAAGCTTGGGTGGCCACCTGGGGCATCATGCAATGCAAGCTAGGACAAACGACAGACAGCATTGTTCGATTTGTTCCATCCAAAAAAAATATAATTTAGACATTTAAAATCCGGTTAATGTAAATTTCACGTAAAGTATATCGAATTAATTCCCTAATATTTAAGTTGCGTTTTGCCAAATTCCGCGTAATTAGTTTCCGTATAATGAGGGATGTCTATTCCAGATTTGTCTGGGCACTCGCATGCTGAAATTCACTGCTTTATTCTGATAGTCAGATTGAAGTAGAAACCTAGTATTAGACTACAAGGGATACGATCAATACAGTACATCACATTGTAGCATTGCATAATGTTAAAATTGGTATCAGTATGCATCTAGATTTCAAAAGTATATCGGTGGTGGACAACTGCGTGAAATGCTCTTAGGTTCTTTCGGTAAAGTCACGTAGGTAAAAATAATAAAATAATAAATGAAAATAACTAAATTGCGTGAAAACTGCTGTTGGAACAGACTGGTGAGGGGACCCCGACACAGACTGGCTTCCTGGAGGTGCAGATTGTGGGAGGGAAACTTCTCCACTCCAAGGCCGTGAGTGTCTTTACTCGGCACAGCTCCGAGCATAACATTGCACACCGATTCGTATGTATGTTGAACTTGTACTACTATGTTGAACTTCTACTGCTATGTTGAACTTATACTACTATGTTGAACTTCTTTCACACCGTATGTAGCCAACCGTGCTAATCAGAGGTGTGGAGGAAGGACAAACTAAACACTAAAAGCAGTTCTAAAGAAATTTGTTTTAAATTTAGAAATGTGAAATGCAGGTGGATATTCTTGCTATGTCAGAGGCTTTCACCTTCACGTCCATATTGACTACTTTAACGTGTATATGGCTGTAAGGGTGGCAACGTTCCATTTTTAAGGGGTTGGAATCCTATCCCCTGCTCTGTTGTGGGTGACAGCAATAGTACCCTCTGCTGAAAAAACACACCAATGACACTGCCATATATATTTCAGAATGTTATGCTACTCACACTTAACTCACAAATGAACATATTGAAAAATACTTATAATGAATTGTTCAGAATTGGGAACTGAATGACATTGCATTTTAATGTAAAAAAAATATTGCATGAATAGGTCTTTGCCTCACGCCTCTGATTAGCAGTTGGCTACATCCACACATACAGCTGTATAGACTTGCTGTGATCTTACATATTAACGTGTCTGTGTTGTAGATCACTGTTATTACACGCTTGTTTTAACTCTGTCTGTTGTTGTCGTATCCTCAAATCTTGTAACTCAATTTTAACCAACTTCCCAATGTGGTATCGACTGCAAACTTGGTATACTTATGTCATACTAATTACAATACTATATTCTATAAAAAAAATAGTATTTTTAAACATTCATTTTTATGTTATGTTTCGGCTTGGGTCCAATTGTCCACGCTCAACTGACGTTGTCTGTAAACGTTATGGCAAGCTTCGGGGAGTCGTGGAGTTCTGCCATTACCAGTACGGTACATTTCATTACAGCGTGTTTTTTTAAAGTATTTTTTAATGACTTATTTTGTACAGATATGGAGTACCTGATTTGAGCGTTATCAGTCTCAGATGTGCTTTGGCGGTTAAGATATAAAATTACAAGAATACACGAGACATTGTGTTGATGGATGCAGTTGTGTATAGCTGGAAGGAGAAGAAAAATTCGTTGCAGCTTGCCAAAAATGCCTATGGCAGTGTTTACATGTTCAGAAACCTGCTTCACTTGGTGTGTCCAAACACGTTTTCTGAGTCGTGAATACAACTCAGCTATTCTTCTGATTATGCATCTATACCAGTATAATTAAACGACATGTTGCATTGCAGAACGGCGATGGGTTTGTAGACTCAGATGAGAAGCTACAAAAGATCTTCAGTGGAGTGGAGAAAGCCCTCGAAAAGAAGTAGCCAGAATGTGTTGAAGCAGAAGCATGCTTTGCTTCTTAACAGAGGTAAAGGCTTGTCTGTGTCGCTGGTTATAAAGAAATGTATTGATGTTATAATAATGTATGATTCAAAGCTAGCACATTTATAGTAAGAAGTCAGTCAGCATGTGTAAAACTATTTATTATTTTATTATTTCCCTTCTATGCGACTTTATCGAAAGAACCAAGAATATGAATCCCTGCAGTCACGAAAGCTTTAGATCAAAAAGCTCCATAAATCTTAAAAAAAAATCGAGATTTTAGTTTTAACCACTGCCTGCTCTTGCTCTCCAGTGCCTTAATCGTCGTAAAAAATGGGTTTGTGTCATACATTGCTGTCGTGATAATGTCCTCTTGTTTTGTGGCCCCCTTTGGTGACAGCTTTAACAGGACTTGTGGTCGTTTCACCGTGAGCCGGCGTCGGATGAAGGAGATGGCGGAAAAGCTTCGGCCTAGTCGTCTCCCGAGGGCTCTCAGCGCTCTGCCACGATGAACAAACCACTAAGGAGTTAAATTCTTGTCAATTGTCTTCTCTGCATACACATCTATAACTTTGTTGCAACTGGGGAGGAGACACTGGTGTTTTTTTGTTATTGGTTTTAATTTCACTTGGGGGTGGGTATGTTGTCAATGGTATCGTTTAATTCACGCAGACTTTACTTCTAAAATTGGTCATCAATAAACCCGCCATCTCGATAGAATGCATTGCATCAGAAGCAAGACTTTGTTATGTTTACTGTTCTAAAGTATGTTTTTTTTTAGTTTTCAATTGTTGGGCTTAACACTGTTAACTGTTCCTTCTAAAAAGCAAATAACTGAAAACACGCATTGCAGGGGTTTAACTTTGGCTAATCATTGTCCCAAACTAAGGAAGTTTTGTAATGGCATGCATACATGTCCATAATTGGTATTGGCAGGAAACACAATGCATTCTGAGTCTTGAATACATATAAACATTCAGCAGTTTCATAAAACCATTCTGGACTGGACCAGTCTGATATTTGACAACACCTTTTATTTGAGCATATATTGCCCCATTTTATATCAACGTTGATTAGCCAAAACCAATTTCAAGTATGCTGCTGCAGTGGAGGAGTCTTCGTGCAGTGCATTGCACACTGCTAAAAATAATCGGACACGCTTGGTTCCCCTGATTACAACGGAGCCATTTAAATTAGCAGTGTCGTCTACTGTATTACACTGTACTCGGCAGGGATTGTCTTAACACCTATGTATACATACGCACTTCTGAATACACTCCACACCTCAAATGTTTTCGATAGGTACGTTTTGCAAATATTGCCCTGTGGAATAGTTATGAAATATGTAGTGTAGTGCTCAATAAAATTCCTTAAATTATGATAAATGAAATTGTGGCTTTTTGAGATGAGTTGATATATTGTTTTGAAAATTGTGATTCGTGTATGTTTTCTAATTCAATCTCAAGTTGTTTGAAGTATCCAAGACCAAATAAAACATGGTTAACTAACTGTAGACTTTGCATGTTGTAGAATTGAGCAGGGAATAAATATGGATCGGTGACATGGCTATTAACCACGCAAATGCATACATTTATTTAAATGCATTGTAATACTATACATTTCCTCAACGATACAAACATTTCAAAGTATAGCATTCCTTTGAAGATAATACAATTATCCCATGGTCGCAATTATCTTAAACAATTGACGCTGCATCAAAAACAAATGTAATCTCTTAAAATCTCGTTACATAACTACTTGTGGTGAGAATGTGCAAATGTTACCCCCCCCCCCCCAACTTCTATTCTGCTTTATCCACTCGCACGGTCCCTCTAGCGCACATCCCGGACAAAATACAGAGACGGATGCTCTGCTGCTGCAAGAACACCTATTAACACTAAAACCACCACGGCTAAATATGCCGAGTCTGGGTCGTCAAAGTGGAATCCTGCATGGTACAGTGCATCGGGGCAACAATTAAAATGCAAAGGACAATTTTACACAACACGTGCGCCACAATGGAATTCACTTGCTAGCCAGTCCAGTGTTCCAATCCCAGATGACGCCTGTGGTTCCTCGCTCTGGAGGACACACACGCACACGAGTTGGAGGACACACACACGAGTTGCCAGGGCATAGAAAAAAGCACAAAGGCCCCAAGGGTGCAATGGCACGGCTCGTGCAGACAAAAGGCCCTGGGTGCATAATAAATACAACGGTTCAAGAGTATACGTGTCGGTGACGTTACACTGTCAGCCACTCTACTTTGTCAACCTAAAAAATATGTAGTATTTAAAAACACGCTTTTATGAAATGTACTAGTAATTGAAGAACTCCATGACTCAGTTCACCGTGGACAATTGGACCCCAGCCGAAACATAACATTAAAAAAAATGTTTAAAAATATATATTATTTTTTATGATAGAATATAGTATTGTCATCAGTATGACATAAGCATACCAAGTTTGCAGTCGATACCACATTGGGAAGTGGGTTAAATTTGAGTTATAAGATTTGAGGATACAATAATGACAACAGAGTGAGTTAAATGAAAGCGTGTAATAATAGCACGTTTTAGGTAACCACCGGTCAAGTTAAGGAGAAAAAAGCCAGCCTGAAATAGAAAATTGTGAACACAATACAAATATAAGTCGGCACAGTCCAGGTATCCCTCGATTTACGAAAGGGATGCGTTCATTAAAAAAACACGCATGAAACGAAATGTGGATTTTCCCATTAAGACAAAAAATTAAGATATTGTTTCGTCATTAAATCTCTACTCACCTAAACACATACACCTGTATTACTTTTGACAAGATAAAGAACATATTGAGACTACTTAATTAATTTAAAGCAAAACTAATGAACCTTTTCAAAAGATCTGCTGCATGTTGGAATGACCGGCGTTGCCGTTGCGCTGTCGGGATACCGTGACAGTCGTCAATCAGAATCTTTATTTAGACTGGAGGAGGAATCCGATGAGCTATGAAGCTCTTACAGACACGTGTCCGGGTGAAACTTCGTGAACGCGGAAATTCGAATTCGCGTTAATCGAAACGTGCCCGCAAGTTGCCAATTTCCGTTTACGCGAAATTTCGTTCGTAAATCGAGGAATACCTGTACTGTACATGCAAAGGACAACGTATACAACAAACCCATGTTATTGCTTATACAGCACGGCTTACCGATATATTTGCTAATTGTTACGTATGTTTCATTCTACCAAAAACAAATGAAAGTTTATTTTTAAACAGAAATAAAGACATTAAATATTCCCTATAATTAAACGAGAGTACTTGCAATACGTATATATTTCCACGTCCCAACTTTTAATTATCTATCGAGAAGAAACCAATTGTTTTGCGTATGTAAACAAAAAAATGCACACAAAAATAAAATGTAATAAACCAAAAAAATAATCATTACAGTACACCCAACTAGCATGGGAATCTCTCAATAAATCCCATACAAGGAATAAGTAATTTAAACAAAGCAATGAGTCACCACCACAATAATGTCTCGTGGAAAATCCCATAAAAATAATAACTAATTTAAACAAAACAATGAGTCACCACCACTGGAATGTCTCATGATAAATCCCATAAAAGAAATGACTAATTTAAACAAAACAATGAGTCACCACCACAATAAAGTCTCATGATAAATCCCATAAAAGAATAACTAATTTAAACAAAGCAACGAGTCACCACCACTGGAATATCTCATGCTAAATCCCATAAAAGCAATGACTAATGTAAACAAAAGCAACGAGCCACCACAAATAACAACAACAATAATGATGATGATGACATCTGAACCCAGCTGGTCACCAATTTCAAAACTTTCCCGAATCCGTTTCTGGAAACGCGGGGACCGTTGGTGACGTCACGCGGTGGGCGGGGCGACGTCGCCGCCATTTCGCCGCGGGAAGAAGAAGCAGCAGCAGCACAGGCAGCAGCAGCAGCGACCGGACTCACCTCCTCTCTCAGCCGCCTTCCGTCTCCCACGTCGCCCGGTAAGTACGAACAAACGTACTCACCGCCTCTTCTATCGGACGCGCGCGTGTTTTTATCCGTCGCGTCGTTCTTGTAAGCGTGGTTATTCATCGCGGCGGCCGTTCTTTGGTCGTCGGGGGGCCCCCTTTGTGTTATCTCTCGTCAGGCCGTCGTTTTTGTTAGCCCTCCTCGCTTTGGCCGCTTCTCCTAAACGTCAAGTTTCTATCGCTCACTTGCTCAAGTTCGCTCGCCGTGCGAGTGAGAATCGGCCTTTCGCGCTGGCGGTGTTTTTTGGTGGGGTGGCGAGGGGGGTAAACGAGCGGATTAACTCGACGTTTGTTCGCGACGAGGACAACGTCGCGGCGGAGCGATGAGGCGCGAGGGCTTTTTCAAGAAAAGCGGCGGCGCTGGGGCGAAAAAAACCCCGCGCGAAATTGTCCGCCATGTCCCCCTGCGCGGTGACGTCATCGCGCAGGCCCCTCCCCCCCACCACCGCGCGTGACGTCATCGCGCAGGTCCCTTCCCCCCAACCACCGCGCGTGACGTCATCGCGCAGGCCCCTCCCCCCCCACACACCGCGCGTGACGTCGTCGCGCAGAGCCCGGGTCGCTGTTCGCCTGTTGGGCGTGACGTCATCGCGCAGGCCCCTCCCCCCCCACACACCGCGCGTGACGTCGTCGCGCAGAGCCCGGGTCGCTGTTCGCCTGTTGGGCGTGACGCAATCGCGCAGCGGCGGAGGCGCGTGGTGTTACCGTCGGTGACGTCATCGCGTTTCCGCGACGCGGTGACGTCACGCGGGCTTTTGTTTATGGTTGTGTTGCGGTAGAAGGCGGCGGGAGAGGCCTTTTGTTTTAGCCTCGGCTGTTGATTAGTAAGATCGCGATTGTAGTTGGAATCTACGGGGATTAAAATACTCGAGTTTGTTTTTCCTCCGACGGAGACCTAGGTAATAAGCTACGGAATAGCAAACGGAAATCCGAATTGAAGCGTTTGAAAACAATGCAATACATGCATTTAATAATGAAATAATGTAGCGTAATTAACGTGTACGTCTTTTAACTTAGAGGGAAAAATAACACGGATTGTCTCACTTGTGTGGCCCGATTTTAAAGACGACTGGGAAGGAGCAGGAGGATACAATTGTATCACTCTTGAACGTCTATCGAGTCGTGTTAGGTGATGTTACATGGTCGAGATTCATGCTCGTTTCGTTTTAACAGCGGGCTTCTTAAACGTCGTTATGGGCTTCAAATTCCAACCCTTCGGTTGAAAAGGAACCCCCGTTGTGTTGTGAATGATACATAAGCTTGCACTGCTATTACTTATTAACAAATGGATATGTCCCCAAGGCAGTAAAATGTCTATCTCGCGTATGAACTCGGACATGTTTGTTTTGTATGCCTTTGTTTCCCTTTTGAAACGGTTCATGTTAATAGCAGTCGATGTACGGGCCCGTGGAACTTGGTGTTATCAAGCCGTGAATAACTAAAATACTCGGAGTAATAGTCGCACTACGACAGCCTTAAGACGTCTTTTGAGTGTTTTTTTTACATTATATCATTTGAATTGCAGTACAGCAACGTGGTGCTAAGCCGACAATTGAGCTACTGAATAAGAGTGTTAGGTTTACTGTATCAGGACATGAGCCGATGGAATGGGTATTTCACGAACTTGATGAAAAATACTTAAAATGGCCTTTCATTGCTTGACGTTGAAACTGGGTTTTATTTGAACACGACGAGCTGGAATTTCGCCAAATACAGTGTGAATACAAACGTGTTGTCCTTGGTGGTGTGACAGCCTACGGCACCTGAGAAACCAGTTTGGCTCATAGCAGCAGTGGTCCATCGTACTTTGTTTAGAAAATAACAAATACGTTCTGTTTGTCTATCGAGTCAAATAATAGGTGGTGCATTCTGGTAGGTATTCAAAGCCAGACTGCTGGGATATAGCTTAAGAAAACACCTGTACAGAGGCCTTCTTTACAAAGCCACCTGGAGTAGTCAGAGCCATCCAGTACAATTTATTAACTTGATTCCCTTCAAAACAGAGACAACTCCAAACTGCACGAGCTCTAACCACCTACGTTTGTGTGTGCGGAACATAACCACTTGTGTTGGCTACCCCTACTCCCTCGTACGCCATAAACCGCCCTTTCTAGATGTTAATCAGAATTACCTCAACAGTCTCTGTGAAAGTCTAAAGGGGGGAGGAAGAGGAGGAATCATGTATCGTTGTGTGCTCTCCTTTGCAGACCGTCGATACCGAAGAAATGGCTCGTACCAAGCAGACAGCGCGTAAGTCAACGGGAGGCAAGGCCCCTCGCAAGCAGCTCGCCACCAAGGCCGCCCGCAAGAGCGCGCCGTCCACGGGTGGCGTGAAGAAGCCCCATCGCTACCGGCCGGGCACGGTGGCTCTGCGTGAGATCCGTCGCTACCAGAAGTCGACGGAGCTGCTGATCCGCAAGCTGCCCTTCCAGCGCCTGGTTCGCGAGATCGCCCAGGACTTCAAGACCGACCTGCGTTTCCAGAGTGCTGCCATCGGCGCCCTGCAGGTAACGTGTCGTTGGCGACCTTTGGGAGCGGCATAGTTCAGAGTACCGTAGGATTTGGTGGGTGCGCAGTCAGTCTGACTCGAATCTGTTTTTGGATATTTAGATTTACAGTTGTTAAGTAAACATTTTTTGATTTAAAGCTTTCGTGACTGCAGGGATAAATATTCTTGGTTCTTTCGGTCACGTAGAAGGGAAATAATAAAATAATTATTGTAACATATTCTTTATTATTTACCTTCTATGTGACCATTACCGAAAGAACCAAGAATAGAAAAAAATTGTGCTTGATGAGATTTTGAATTTTTTTATTTTGACAACTCTTCTACAGGGTGTAAGTGGCTACTTTATTGAACTTAAACAATGAATAAGTTAATGGAAATGTCCGAGACAAAATGATCTTTGTTTTTGCTGACTAATTTTAATAGTTGCAAACACTTTCATGTGTATTTGCATTTTTATTAAGTAGAGGTGTTGGTGCAGTTAAGTGAGTTTTCTCCATTATTTTCCATGCTTCAGGCAACTACATTGCATTACATTTGATTGTTGTTTGTGCACATAATTGAAACGTTTCATTTGGCCAGACTCTATGCTTGGGGCACTTAACAGAAAACATGTTAATGGTGGCTACGGTTAACAAAGCATGTTTGACATTCATGTATGTGTTGCATTAAAATAATGTTAGCTATTCGCTACATTTTGGATGATTCATACCATAACTTGCAATGTAGGCGTGAAGCATTTGTGACAGTTATAGAATGCTTTATCAATACACCTGAGAGGCGACATGGATTTTAAAGCATAACCCTTGTGAATGTATATTTATAACAAGTGCCATAATTAATATAGTACTCCGTTTAAAAGCTCCAAGACCCAAGGGTTCAATTTAAACACAAGTGCGACGCGAAGTGCCTCGGTATCCCAGAGTACCCCAATATGTGGCGCTGCTCACATTTTAATGTACATCTGCGATTGAATCCATGTGGGCATTAAGCCGGCTTAATTTAAATATAACCCTGCTAATTAATCGGTGTGGGTCATTTCTGTGTGTGGGGGCGGTTGCAGGAGGCAAGCGAGGCCTACCTGGTGGGGCTGTTTGAGGACACCAATCTGTGCGCCATCCACGCCAAGCGCGTCACCATCATGCCCAAGGACATCCAGCTGGCGCGACGCATCCGTGGCGAGCGTGCCTGATTGCCGTGCCCTGTCCATGTCAGAGGGCCCCTCTATACTCCGGTTTTTTATAGAGGCCCATTAGAGGCAAGGGAACAACAAAAAAGTATAGCGCCTTGTGAACTTTTAATGATTCTTGTTTTGGACAAGTACACTTGGATGTTCGATGTTGGAGGCCTCCCAACAATCGATTTAAATATAAATGAACTAGAAACGCAATGCTTTATTGTTAATGTCTTTAACGCAAAGTGTGCAAAATGATTAATGTGCAATTGGTGTGGAGGCTTGCACAATGTCTGTTGGGCACACGTGGTGTGTAGAGAATTTGGAAAAGCCTAATGATAATAACATTGGCGTCTATGAAACCGGACTTTAGAGCAGCCCTGGCTGATCCCCGAAGCCAACGGGACCAGATAAAGGTGCATAAACATTGTCGCCACGTCTAAACGTAGTGTGGGATAGACTAGAAAGTAAAAGGGTTGTCTTAGAGTAATTAACAGTCCTTGTTTTGTTACTGTTTTTTGTTCATTTTTTAGAGGTGCTTGTCTCTGTGATGATTCAATAGAACCTGGTTGTGAAGGTCAGTCGATACTTTGGGAGTCTATGTTCAGCCTTGAAAATCTTAATAAGGAAGAATGAACGGCTACATTTGTTATTGCTGTGCTGTACGTTAACGAGTGGTGGTGGTGGTGGTGGCTGTGGTAAGCTAAGTTTGTAGTTGACCTCTTCGTTCTATCCAACTGTGTTGTCAGGACTTCCAGGTTTTACACTCTTTTCAGTCTAAACACAGTATTTGTACACGGTATTGTATTTTTATAACTTTCACTGATAAAAAAACAGGTAAAAATTTTGAAATTGTTTTGTATTATCTCCGTCTTTGCTCCCGTGCTAGCTGTGTGAGCGTCACACGTACTCAGTTCTTTCCCCCTTTGTGGTTTTATTCCTTTAAGACTTTGACCATTAAATGTTGGGACGTTATCCAATATATCTTTTGTGTTTGTTTACATACATTCACACTCGCAACAGTTGACATTTTTCATGACAGTGATTGCATGCAACAAGCGTCATGTTTTGCAGTTGGAGCTTTCCTGTATTTTATTTAAACTGCTGGCCTTTGCTCCTATTACAATAAACTTGCTTATACAATATGTGTGCGACCTCGTGGCATTGAATATTTTTTTAAAATATGTAATTTGCATGTTTGGACTAAAATTTGTTGCATTGGCATCTTTGGAATACATTTCGGGACATTAATTTATTTTGCCACTGAGTGAAGGACACGGTGTATTAATTCCAGCAGAAGACCACAACAGAAAACCAGATGCTTTGATGTGATATTGAATTTTGACGCCTTTTCTAAAACAATTTTACCCGTTTAAGTCCAACTGATGAAGCAAAATACAGCATTCGTTTCCACGAATAATTGTAAGTGACAGCACAAAGCGCTTGCATAGAAACGAGAAAAAACTCAAAATGGTGGACGTGCAATTGTACAGGGAGGTGGGTTCATGGTGTTTGGTAGGATCCCGACAACCCCCGATTCTTTGTATTTGCTGTTTCCCTCTACTGGGGCCCATGTGTACTGCAGTCTTGAAGTGCAGCATTCAGCAGGTCCACCCCCTCATTGCAGTTGTGGAAGAGTGCAACAATTTCAGTTGACAATAGCTGTCGGCTAGTTTTATTGATCACAACAATATGCCGGAATAACAATCATACTTGTGCTTGATTACCCTGGATATCCTCGCCGTGTCTAGACTTTCAGGAGGGTCCTGCCAAGATTTTTCAATAGGGGGACGATTTTGCTACGTGTTTTAATCTCAGTTTTATAATGTCGGTACATTTATAAAATAGGGATGTTTCACCAAAATCAGTTGCATCCCTTGTTATAGTTTTTTTAGTGACAGGAGCTGCATTTTTACCATGAAAATCATAACTGATAATGGAAATCAGACGTTGCATAAGTGGCGTAAACGTGTTGCATTAATCAAATAGTGGGTGAGGAATTTTCAGTGTTATAATAAGGACGTGGGTGTGTTGAGCGGACACATTGCAAGATAAATCGTGATCAGCATGGCTCTTTCAGTGGGAGAGTTAAATACTCGAGAGACCACTTATAATCACTTGCCTGCAGCCAAATTACCACAATCATGGATATGATTTTGGATATCCCCAGGTGGACGGCGTTAATTAATTACCCCCTTTATAACAGCAGCTAATTACAGCAATCTAGTATCTTACTATAGCTACAAGCTATTGCAGTTGAGCAGTGCGCCGTTAAGTATACGCCATACATTCGCTAAAGGTTGAACGTAAGTATGCACTCATGTGTTATGCATTAGGAGCTTTCAACTTCCTGCAGGTTTTGCTCGCATAAAGGGCAAGGATGGAGATGTTCAATCTCGGCTTCATTTGCTTAATCGAATTGCAGACAATCATTGAATACATAAATGCAGTTTAGTAGATGGCCTTTAGAAACATGGCAGAGCTAAATGGGACCAAACGCCGAAAGGGAGAATTGGGTAACAATATGCAGCCAAACTTAATTTGGAATTGGAATAGCAGAGCGATATAAACACCGAGGTACGATTTGACACAGGACGTAAAGGAAACGCTTTAAACGAAAGGATTATTATGGTAAAAGTTGCGGTGAACGCTGCATTTAAGGAATGTTTAATTACAGGGTGATCTATTTCCAGATACCCCCACCAAAATAGGGCGAGAGTGGAAGAGTGAGCAAACTATACGAATGGCTTTAGAGCTCCCTCTAGTGGATTTCCTTCCGCCTGCAGTAGCAACTGCAGGGCTGCACCTTTACCAATTTTATACAATTGAAGATTTTGCGATACAATTTGTTAAAATTTCCCATTTGTAGTTGGCCATGCCGACATTTCTGGAATAGGCGTGTGAGCCCACCCCGGGTGAGGTTCTCCAATTGAACCCTTCCTTCTAGCCCCCCCACCCACCGTTCCAGTCCCTGACGACCACATTTAGATAAGCCCCTCCCCTTAACTTGTATTTAAGATCTTGTCTCTTGGATTTCTCCTCACTTGATACAGTAAATTTAGCTGTGACGGTCCCACCTGAAGACTTGTGTTGCCTCCGAAACGTCGTGATTTAATTGATTTATTTCCATTCATTATTTTTTTTTTACCGACGTGACTTTACCGAAAAAACCTAAGAGTACCCATTCATGCTACCACCTGCCTTCCGTGCCTCTCTGTTCAATAATAGCTGATGATTTAAAAATGTATTCAACCACCTGTTATCATTTGTGATTTTTCATTTTGGAATATAGAAATATTTGCTCGCCGTTTTTCGAAAACGTGTCAGATTCCTTTAAAAAGTGACCAGACTCAGGATTTTCTGGGTAAACTATATAAAATAATATTTTGCATCATTCGAATTCTTAGCTGCTGTTTTTGTTGCCTAGCATTCACCCTGACGGCAGCTGTCCCTATGCGGCAGAAGGTAATAGCAGTATCGGCCTGCAAGTGGGCATTGGGATACGTGTTACGATTAAAAGAGGGTCAAATCTAAAGCAGTAGGGTATCGATAAATCGATCGTCTTGTTTGTTTTGGTTGACTACAATTCTAGTAATTCGACGCTAGAGGGGTGTAGAGTCCAAGCACCTTCAGACCTCACGTGCAATTCACATGACTGCACCTCACAGGGTGATATAGCTCAGTTATTGACTGGGTACAGGAGGAGGACTTCCAATCATATAGTAATTAGTTTATATCCCTAGTCAGAGTATATTAGTGTGTTCGATTGGCTCATATTATTACTAACTAGGGCTGGGACGATTAGTTGATTTTGAAGTGTATTTTGTTTAACCAGGCGAGAACGCGAGAGATGGTGAGTCGGCTCATTTGCAAGAGTGACTCAGGGCACCAAGATGACAAAAGAAAAACAAAATACAGCCACGAAGCAAAGAGAGATCAGCACAAAAACAACCGTGTCGCGTGGCGACATGGAAAACAGCGCACACACTAATTAATTAAAACAAGTCTCCTTTTCAGCGCAAATCAGCTTCATTAAGTCGATTGATCGGCTAAATGTTACAATCCATGACAACCTTTTTTTTCATGGTGGATTCCCTGTGACCTTTTAAAAATTTGATTTGCTTTGACATCCTGGCTACTGAAGGTGGGAAACCCCCTATTAAGCCGCACACAACACATGATGCGGATGATGGTGCTGATGACTTCATCAAGCACCACCCATCACCTATTTAGTGCCACGTGTGGGAGCAGAGATCGATTGAGTGGTAACACCGTTAATCGGTGGAGTAATTTATAACAGTACTTGAATAATCGGATTAACCAAGCTCTAACTACAAACTTTAGGGTGCTTAGCAATGTCTTATCAGCCCTAGAGGGCAAAACGATTTTACACGTTGTTCTCAGACTTTAAAGCACTCAAATCTCATTTTTTCAGGGAACATGGCTTTCATGAAAAATTCCACGTGAAATATGAAGCTGTCAAAATGGGTTTCATCCCATGTGATTTGAACAACGAATGTTTGGCAGTGGCCCAACGCACTGTAAATGAAATGTTTAAAATATGAAGTCTTACTTATTGTGCTGTTGCAGTGATGCAGTTAATCACAGCGGTTAAAGTCAACCACCCTGCAATGTACAAGGTGCTCCAGATGTCTTGTGACCCCCAATTAATTGACACCTAACATGTATTTCCATTGCATATTGATTTCTGTTTAAAGAATAAACAATAGCTTAAAACATATCCAGTTTCAGATCAATAAATGGGGGTCGCGAGACATCTGGACCACCCCGTACAATGCAGCACTCACCACGTTTGAGTGTTGTGAGAAAACCCCGCGTGTTCTACCGATTCACTCCCACAGAACCCGAGCCGACCCAAGGGACAACACAACCGCGGACGAGCGGATTTAAGAAACTCGCCCATTCTCTCCACACTGCCGCGCCGGGCGATCCAATGAAATCAGAGCGCGCTCGCCGCTGACACGACGGCGCAGAGCGGAGATACAGACAACCAACGAGCACGGCCGTGGATGTCGCTGCCACCACGAGAGCCCGTGGACCCCAGCCCGGCCTCCCGTGCGTGAGAAAGGAGCCCCCGAATGTGTCCCTGGCGCGGAGCCCAGTTCGGACCTTTAATCTGCGTCTCACGGCGGAGTGGAGGCTTGCTGTCGGCTCGTGTGCCTCATTTCCTCGCCCGTCTTCGGGATTGCGGCAATGCGTCACGGATATCATCGTTTTCATTCGCCACAGCCACGGTCAATACGCCGCTGGATGAAGGCCTCTGCAATCCACAGCCATTTCTTGCATTATAGCTGCGATGTAACACTCCAATTAGTGCCAACACACGGAGCTGATTGTATCGCTCCGCATGCCCGTTGGATGCCCTCTCCAATGAAACGGCGTTACGTTCATCATCAACATCCACGGATTAATTCACTGCTGGATAAAGGCTTCCCAAAACCACCACCATCTCTAAAGGTCCTTTGATGTAATAATCCACATTGCATCTGAGCGCATTCCAATCAAGAGAATAGCCACTGAGGAGATGGAGCGATGAAGTCAGATATACACAGTGCATTGCCCACCACCACCACCACCACCCCCACAACTCCCCAATGCATGGCAGGAGGCTCCTGGTGAGTCTGCAGTAAATTAGCGGAGGCGAAGCAGAAAAATCAATCCCGATTCCTGAATACGGTGCCCTGTGCTGTGGCAATATTTACAACTCGTTAATTAAAAGTGTGCTATTTATAAATAGTGAATGCACCGAGTGACAGACCATATATATGCTGGAGGAAAACCCGTCTCATGATGGGGAAAGTCAGCTCGAATGGCAACCGAGCAGTTAATTAAGAAAGCAGGTTAATCTGCTGCTTGACTTGAATAAGCTATGCCAGCATGTGGAAAATGTTTTGCTTTAAGCTGAACTTGCATTCTTGTAGGTGCATTTATAATCCTCAACATTCAATGGTCATCTGATTACATTGTCCTTCATAATATTTGAGTGGTGAACCTGATTACAGTGAAATCAACATTGTCTTTAATTAGTTATGTCCATACTTATTATGAATACATTAACAATTATCAAAATTCTAGGGTGAACCAATTGAAATGCCCTTCATGACCATTGGAAGGATATCACGTT